TTTTTTTTTTTTTTTTTTTGGTACTGGGGATCGAACTTAGGTCCTTGCGCTTGTGCAGCAGGCAGCGAAACCACTGAGCTAAATCCTTGGTCTTTCTTAACTTGTTAAAGCTCAATAATATTCCATTATTTGGACAGGTCATATTTTGCTTATTCATTTATCAATCAATGGACAGCTGGGTTGATTTCATCTTCTAGCTACTGTGAATAATGCTGCTGTGAACATGGTTATACAAATATCTTTTGAGACCCTTTCAACTCTTTTTTAAAAGATTTAATAGTGTATGTTTGCAATACAGAATGGTGATGTTTGTGTGGGGGAATTGGTACATACATGTAATATAATTTCATCATTTTCAATCCCTTTACCTTCTTTTTTCTTTTACTTCTTGATCTCTTCTATCCCATCTTCAAGAGTCTGCCTCTTGCTTCCTACCATCTCTCCTGTATTTTACTCATTTACAGTGGACCCCTCACTTATGAACTCATGTTTGCTAGGGCTGGTTGTAGCTCAAGTTGTCAAGGCTCCTCCACACAGCCTTCAAAGTCTCTCCTGTATACAGGCAGATCTCTGTGTCCTTAGAGAGACATTGGCCCAGGACTTCTCAATTAACTTCATGCAGGAAAGGATGTTATAATGTTCCTTCCAGAACTCTTTAAGGGTTAATTCTGTATCTGAGATCATCTGAAGGACAAGCAGCTGGCATTCAGGTCGTAACTCAAGACTTTGTTCAAAAGTTAAAAACTAAAATTCCGATCTTAACCCAAGTTGTTCATATGACAGGCTGATCATAACTTGAAGGTCCACTGTATTTATTCATAATTTAGGTTTCTTACATAAATCATGTGTTATTTAATTTCTGTTTCTGAATTATTTCATCTTGTATGACAGTCTCAAGTTCCATTCATTTTCCTGAAAATGACATAACTGCATTCTTTAAGGCTGAATATTTCATTGTGTATATATGCCACATTTTCTTTATCCATTTCCCTACTGACAGGCATTGAGGTTGTTTCCTGCTTTCAATTCTTTTGGGTATATATCCAAAGGTGGAATTAGTTTTACATCTCAATTTTAGCTTTCAAAAGGTTATATTGACACTTGAGGAGCCTGAGGTAGGAGGATGGCAAGTCTGAGGACAACTTAAGCAGCTTAGTGACTTAGCAAGACCCTTTCTCAAAAAAGGGGCTTCAACTCAGTATCAAAAAAAAGCTTGCTTGCTTTATGAGAAACAATTTCACCAACACTGAATGTATTTTGTTAAGGAAATGTATTCCTTGACTTGCTTCTAAATTTTAAATTGTGCAAAGCATTTCCAAAATATAGAGATGCTGGAATAAATACAAAATGCTGAATTCTAAATCTGCAGTACAGCATGCTTTGAGTCCTGCTCTAGGCCCACTCCGCCTGTCCCCTCCGTGTTGCTGTGCTGTCACAGCATCTTCATATGACACTGTAGGTAGGGATCTGTAAAGAGGTCCCAGGTCCAATCCTTGGTACTGGGCTGGGGGGTAGGCATCCCGAGCTAACAAAAAAACCCCACCATCACCCAGGGACAGTAAAACTTCACAAATAAGCCACATTATAGATTATCTTATACAAAAATAAATTACAAATTTGAAAAACATTTAGTCACTGTGTGTTTTGTTTTATATATATATATATATATATGTATTTCATTTATTCTCTCCTCTCCTTTTGGGACTACATTTACTTACAGGTATGCTTGGTTAATTTATATTATCCCACATGAAACTTATGTTCTGTTCAGCTCTATGTTTAGTTTGGATAATATCTATTGACCTGAATTTAACCTTAGTATTCCTTTCTTCTACTGTGCTTAACATGCTGTTAAGCCATACATTTAACTTCTAATTTCAAATAAATTTTCTGACCTACCAAAACAAAAAGCATTATGCCAATATAAAATAAAACATGTATATATAATTTTTTTGCCTTTGGTATTTATCACCACACCAGCTATTATTCACGTATAAGGCACTAGTTAAGAACAAAAGATAACTAAAACTCACATGGAATCTAACCTTCAAAAGCTTTCATTTCCAATTATTTTAAGCAAGCAGATAAAAATTTATTAAAACATCATGAGGGCCAGGGATTTAGCTCAGTAGTGCTGTGCCTGCCTCACAAGCACAAGGTCCTGAGTTCAACTGCCTTCACCAAAAAATAAAAAATCATGAAAAATTACTCTGCTGTTTTATTTTAAAATGTTACAGACTTTAGCTCTGCATACTTATATTTTAATAATCATAAAGCATATTTTACCTATATATCTGAAGATAAAAATAGTGCAATGTATAGTTAAGCATCAGAGAAGAAATTTTTAAAAAAAACTTCATTCTTAGCATAACATGCCTTTCTGGTACACATCTTCTCCCAAAGGCATGTAAAACAAAATAAAAGCCTAGATGTGCCACATTTAAAAAAAAAAAGTCTTCCATGAGAATGAAAAGAAAAATGAGACAAGTACTTAAAATTGCTTACTGTTACAACTACATCATAACCACAATTAATAACTATCACTACTGTGAGCACCTACTATGTAACCAGACATGTATCAGGTGATTTCACAAACATTATTTTAGTCCTCCCCCCAAAATTTATTACACTATTATCCTCATTTCACAAACTAGAAAAATGAAGCTCAGAGATCAAATAACTTTATCACATAACTAACAACCAGTAAGGCTGGGATTGAAGTGAAAGTCATTTGTATACCATTATGACTAGGTTATCTCTTAGAAAGAAATAGTATATATTAGCTTATAAGACATAGGAAAAAAAAGTGATTAATTTAAAAGTTTTTTAAATTCCTGATAAAATTATTTTTTAAATGGCATAATTAAGGAAAATTTTTACCTTCTATATACCAAGCCAACATTAGATGGGCAACTACCCATCATGGGTGAGTGGGGCACTTCCCCCAGTCTACCTCTGCCCCTGGAACACACACCATGCAAGCTGTTGGGAACCCAGCACCAGAAGCGAACTACTACTGTAAAGAGGCTGGAGGCTAGGGATTTAGCTCAATGGCGCCGCACCTGCCCAAGTGCAACATCCTGAGTTCAATCACCAAAAATAAATAAATAAATAAATAAATAGGCAACTGCCCGGGACGACCAACTTGGTGGGTACACCAAATAGGACACCAATGTGTTTGCAGCAAGTGTGTAGGCTATGGAATTCTAACTATAGTAAAGTCATTGGAGATCCTTATCTTCCTTACAGAGGAAGATTACAAGGTCGAATCTACATTCAACATGGACAATGGTTTTTGAAAAACCAGTAACTATTACTAATAATTTATCTTTCACTGTCTTCTATTCTCGCCAAATAATCTGCCTATGTACTTTATTTATTCTACTCATATAACATCAAATATCACTGCTATTCTGATCATTCCCAAATATGCAGATTGCCTTAAAACTGTGAGTTCCAAAGGTTTGAACATTTAAATGTTAACAACATAGTTTAGAAGCAGAGCAGAAGTAACTTGTAAATGGTATTTAAAGGCAAATGGAAATACCTTCTGAAACTGATATGCTCATGGAAATAAATTTTTATATTTATGCATACAAATAATCTTTTCAGAGAACGGAATATAATGATGAGGTTAACAACTTAAATAACAGGTACTCAATAAAGAATATTACAATATTTTAAAACTCTCCAAATTATACTTAACAAAATAACTTCAAAAGATTGGTTTTGGTAGGAATCACTTTAAAAAGATGATTTATAATTTAGTGGGTAGGTTTAATATTTATGCATTATAAAAACCAGGCCTTACCTTTATGTAGTGCAAAAGGGAAATGGCAAACGACGCAATTTGAGTATTTTCTGAAATAATCTATAGTCAGCATTGTCCTGTTCCCAAAAAAAGGAAATAAGTGTAATAAAAATAAGAATATAAAATTAGCTAAACTTGTAAATAAGACAATATTTTCTAAGAAGACCTCTTAACATCCAATAACATGCTTAAAATGGGTGTGGGGAGAAAGGAACCCTTCTCCATTGTTGGTGGGAGTGCAGACTGGTGCAATCACTGTGGAAATCAGTATGGAGATACATCAAAGCACTAGGCTTAGAGGTCCCATTTGACCCAGCTAGTCCCCTGCTGGGTATCTTCCCAAAAGAATTTAAAAAATCATACCACAGCGATATAGGCGCACCCATGTTTTATAACGGCACAGTTTGTAATAGCTAAAGCTTGGAAACAGCCCAAGTGCCCATCAACTGGAAACTGGATAAAGAAGATGTGCTGTGGTTTTTTTAATAAAATGGAGTACTACTCAGCCATAAAGAATGAGAAACTAGAGGTATTTATAGCTAAATGGATGCATATTGAGGCCACCCTTTTAAGTGAAATAAATAGGACACACACGTGTAAATACCGAATAGTTTCTCTAGTGTGAGAAACAAAGTGTAATTAAGGATTAAGATGATTAAAATGAATAATTGATAATTTGAAACAGGAAGAAAAAGTTCAAAGGGGTAGGGGTGGCAGGAGTGGAAGGGGAAAGATCAGAGTTACAGGCTAGAATCTGGAAAGAATCCACATATAGACAGTGTTTAAAACTATAGGAAGAGATGTAGATAGAGACTAGGCTGGAGCTCATCAGTGGGTTGGGAAGGAAGAGTCACTAAGATCAAAAGAGAGAAGGGTGTGTTTCCAGAAGAAGTACATACAACTATGTACAGTACACAGAACTCAATAGTGTGATAAATGACTGTCACTGTTTTACGTACTTATCATAACATGCTGTGCTTTTCATCATTTAGAGCATAATCCTACTTATATAAAAGAGTTTACTGTAAAACAGTGTGCTGCTATGGCAATGGTAGCCTCATGCATCTCGTGTTTAACTGTGTATTTGGATAATATCAAGGGGCCATCACAGATGATTGACATACACCCTCTCAGTTTGCACTTAGAAGTTAGCACTCTGTGTGGTACTTTGCAATACACATGGATGAAATTGCCTAATAACATATTTCTCAGATATTTCCATCACGTGTCACATGACTGTATTGAAAATTAAATTTAAAAAATTTGGCCTATGTGGAGTCTACTAGATAATTAGAACTTTTTTCTCCAGACCACTATTTGTACAATATTAGTTTGAAAATCTTTCTAAAACAAATTACATCCTCTGATGTCTTGTTAATGCTTGTTTTTTTTAATTATATGGAAAAATGTTTAAGTACTTTTCAGTTTTGCTTTGGTTGAGTTCTGTTATATTTGAATATTATTATAGTTTTTTCCCTTGCATTGCTTTTCTTTGAATAATTTTAATTTTTGTATATATGTGTGTTTAGTGAATGATAATGAAGTTATACATTTAAAAAAATAAAAAACAAAAAAGACCTCTTAATAAACAGAATGTAAAAAATTTCTAAGAAAACATAATTATTCTTCATTCTTGGTAGAAACAATACAAATACCAAATGACAAGTTATTTCCAAAAAATTAAATTATACATTACGAAAAATAAATAGTAACTATAATAGCAAAAGAAGTGATCATGGGCTGAGGATTTAGCTCAGTGGCACCACGCTTGCCTTGCAAGCGCAAGGTTCTGAGTTCGATCCCCGGTCCAAAAAAAAGAAGTGATCCTTTTCATTGATTTGAAAGTGAAAGAAATTTAAATAGTTTATTGTTCTTGGTAAAACAGAGATCAAGTTAATAGTCAAAAGAAAAAGATTTCTGATACATAAAAGAAAACGAGGAAAAGACATGAAAAGGCAGTTTGGAGAGAAAATACAAACTGCCCTCAACTAACACTGAAAAAGTTCAAATTACAACCTTATTACATATCCTTGGGGAAGTGGAAGGATTGAGGGCTTTTTGTTTTGTTTTCAGTGCCAGGGATCGAACTCGGGACCTTGAGCTTGCAAGGCAGGTGGTGGATTGAGGGCTTTTTGATTAGCAAACATTAAAAAGATGTAATATCCCTGAGCTGGAGAAATACGGTAACAAGCACTTTACCACTGGTGCAAGCATAAATAATATGTCCTTTTTTAATTAAGAGATAAAATGTTAAAATTCCTTGATTAAGCAGCAATTCCTTTTCTAGAGCTATATCCTATAGAAATACTAGCAACAGGGCCAGGGATTTAGCTCAGTGGTTTTGCTGCCTACTGCGCAAGCGCAAGGACCCGAGTTCGATCTCCGGTACCAAAAAGAAAAAAGAAAAATACTAGCAACAGTAATGTAATGCAGTGTTTTTTACATTGTGAAAACTAAAATGAACCAAGTCTCCATCATGCAGAGAATGGTTAAATATGTTTATGGAATATTTATAAACCATAATTCCAGATAGTTATTAAAAAGATTAAGGCACATATGTCATAGGCACAGAAAATCCTAATTACTGCTATAAAACTAAATTGAATAGGTAAGTTATCTTAATTTTGAGAATAATATTATATGAAAATAACCTATCTTAACATTAATGTCACCTTACTGTTCAATTATTTTCAAACAATATAGCAAAATCTTAACACACCCCATCAAAGTGGAATAGGATGATATATAAATTGTATATAAGCATTCATTAATAAAAAGTTTGTCTCAGTAGAAATAGGGCAGATGAACATTCAAATTTCTTTGACAGTTATGAGCATGAATTTTCTTATGTAGTGTTAAGTATAGAAATACAGCAATTAAAGATGAGTCCACACTGACTTTAAAATGTATCTTGTTCAGCATACAGGTCATATCCTCCAAGAAACCTTCCTCGATTTCATGACTGGGGACTTCCTTTACATTCTTATGAGCCAAGTAAGATCACACTATTCTATAATTATTTATATTTGTCTCCTCAGCAAGACTCTAACTTGCTGAGGACATAGAATGTCACCAACTTAGCAGCTAGTACATTTGGGAAATACTAAATCGTGAAATAAGACATCAGTTTTTTACATTTTATCTCATAAGGTGGATATCATGCATGATAGGCAGGTGTTTTGCTGCTAAGCTACACATCATAGTAATATCATAGTAATTTTAGAGGCAATAATGCACTGAACTGTATCTCTCTGAAAAAGATACACTGAAGTTCTAACCCACATCACTTCAGAAAGTGACTTTATTGGAAAATAGGAAAATAGGATTATAGACATAACTAATTAAGACAATACCACACTAGATTAAGGTATGCATTTAGTCTAATATGACTGGTGTTCTGCTAAGAAAACATGCAGACAAGAGAAGCAGACGGAGATGATGTGAGGACAGAGGCAGAAGTGGGAGATACTCAGCTGCGTGCTGAGGGTCAGCAGCACAGGGAGCTAAGACAAGGTCATGGAACAGTCTCCCCTGGAGCCTTCAAGACAATAGGGCCCTGTTGCCACATTTTGGACTTCTTGCCTCCCAAACTATGTGAGAATTCGTTGTTTTAATTCAGTTTGTGATCATTTTTATGGCAGCCCCAGAAAAGTGACACAGGGAATAATCCATCCATATACCATACTATTATTAATTAATTTTGCAAGTAAGATGCTATGTATGTTGTCCCCATTCATATTTTGGGACCAAATACCCAATGGGATAGTATTAAGAGGTAGGGCTGTTGGGGAAAGGATTAAGTCTTGAGGGCTCTGCCCTCGTGCATGGGATCCATGCCCTTTTAAAAGAGGCTGGAGGGAGCTGCCATGCCCTTTCACCATGTGAGCAAGCCCTCACCATGCACAGAATCTGCTGGCACCTTGATCTTGGACCTCCTAGCTTACAAAACTGTGGGAAATGTTTCTATTATTTATAAATTATTCAGTTTATGCTATTTTCTTGTAGTAGCTCAAAGGACTAAGAGGAAAGATACAAACTGCTTGGAAAACTTTGATTCCTAAATAAATATCAATAGTGAACAGTAGAGGGCATTGTCGATCAGAGCTTAAGAGTTCAGAATGGAGCAAGGCTACGATCAATTTCAGAGCTCCAGGACAGGCAACAGCAATGGGTGGAGCTGGTCACATTTACCAGTCCCATATTTGCACAAGTGAGTAAAAGCATGAAGATTTGCTATTTTCAATTCTCTGATTTTCATATAAAGCAGTTTATGTAAGATAAACTAAGACACTCTATGTAGTCACCCTGCCTAGGTGCCCCCAGACTTCACTTCCTCTTGCCCCAAAAGACTGTGCTGTTGCTTGGCTTTCCCCATCTCAGTCCTGTCCAGTAATCTGCCTAATCTTGCTCTCCAATTACTAGCTGTGTAATGTGGTGTCAATGCGGGCAAAAAGAAAACTGGAAAAGGGAGGCTGGGGTTGAAGATAGGATACACAGGCTAACGGCAGACAAGGGAACAGTCTTTGCACCACTGACAAATCAGGATACTCAACCAAGTAACATGTCTTTCAGCAAGGTGAGAGGATCCAGAAAGGGTACATGAAGGGAGTAAGAACAAAAAAGAAAAGGGAAAAACAAACAAGTGATTTAAAGGGAGAATAGATAAGAGAAAAAGAAGAGAAGCAAGAAGACAGAGGTTAGCCCCTTCCTAAAGCTTCTTACTTCCTTCAGAACTCCTTTTCAAAGTTCCCCCTCACCTAGGGTCTGTCCTTCCAGCCACCCCTCCTCCAGAAGTGCTATCGGCTTGGGATTTGGATGAATCTCCACACCTCCCTCCCCACAGTGCCTGACCCGGAAGAACACAGACACACAAGTGCCTGGATCAGCGTGCAGGTCCACAAGAGGAGGGGTGCACTGCTGCTACTCCAGGAAGAAACTTCAATTCATTTTCCCGATGAAGTTACTACATATGACTGTTAGGTCCTGAGTACTACTAATCCTATAATGTAGGGCTGTAGAGCAGAAATAAGAGGGCTAGTCTCAGAACAAAAAGCTCTATGTAGAATATTATAGGAAAATGAGCTATAGTTCTTCCAAATTATATTACAGATTTTTAGAGCACAATTTGATAAGTAGTATGCCAATTCAATACTATAACTTCCTGAAATCAAAATATATATAAGTAGAGCCCAATTTTATTTTATTTTATTTGTTTATTATCTTTTTTTTTGGAGACAAGGTCTCACTATATAATCCAGGGGGACCTTGAACTCACTATGTAGCACAGGCAGGCTTTGAACTCAAATGGCAATCCTGCTTCAGCCTCTCAAGTGCTGTGATTACAGGTGTGTGCCACCACACCTGGCAAAGTAATATCAATTTGAAAAGACTGATACACACAGGTACAAGCACATACACACACATATCACTAACTGTTGAAATGTAATGATGAAGACAGAAAAGTCAAGGTGGCTATATCAAGGAAATCTTATATAAACAAGGAAGAAGGAATTAGAGTATGTTCTAGAGAACATGTATGCCTTCATCAACTAGGTAGTATGCAAAGAAAACAGGTAGACACTAGAGATGATGAGTGCAGTTAAGAATGCAACAATGTTCTTGGGGAAAAGTAATTATAGGTTGTGGTGTTACGGAAATCTCGGAAAGAAATACACAGAGACACAGAATTCGGATGAAATAATAAAATTTCTTCTCGCGACCGGACGGGAATGCCAGAAACCAGTCTGGTCAATATCTGCACCCTCTTTGTTCAGCATTTCCCTTTTCATATCCTTTTTAGCCATTATCTCATCTCTAGTGGTCTTTGATATGCAAATGCAATTCCAGTTCCTATTTACAAGTCACAGACACAACATAGGCCACATACATTGTAAATTCACCCTGCCACAGTAACTTTGTTAGGTTAATGAAGTTACTGGTTAGAGTCAGATAATCTTCACCTTAAACAAGGAGTTACAGGAAAAGCAAATCTTAAAAGAACACATTACTTATTTTGCTTTTACAACTACCATAATATTCAATCTATTAAGTTATCTAAAACTTTTCCATATCAGTGGAGGGAGGGAAGAAAAAAGGAAGGAGAGAAGGAAGGGAAAGAGTGAGAGGAAGAAAAGGAAAGAAGGAATTAACACCGCCTTAAGTAAAGTGACCCATCTGTCTAAATGAGATTTAGTAACTGCCAAAGGAAGTAATAGCTGTTTAGCATGATATTTTACCTGCGCATCTGAAAGTGACATTGGTTCAGGTAACTGTAAACAAGAATGGAAGGAGAAAAGCATGTCTTCACACAAGCTAGCAATTATAACTTTGTGTTTCAGTTGGCTCTTTAGAACTGACTGGTGCTTGTGGCTCTGCCTAAATGAACAAAAGAAAACAATACAATCACCAAAAGTAACACATCAAGTAACTTAAGCCATAAAGATATCTATTTACATAGTATTTCTTTAATCCAGAATGCATCACATATATTAGACATGGCATAATTCAATATACTAACTTTATCTCTGAAGTTATGTTTAAGTTGCTCTTTTTTCTCTGTGTGAAACATTAAATAAACTCTTACTATGTGCCAGGCACTCCACTGGCCCTGGGAATAAAAGTAAATCAAATGGATATAATTTTTGCCACTGGAACTTGTTGGTCTAGCATGAGACAAAACGTTAAATAATTATAAGAATAATTAATTACAGTTGTGATAAATTCTAATATAGAAAAGTGTAAACTACTGCAATAGACTAGATCTTATTCTTAAGGTGAGGCTATCAAAGAATCTTAAGTATAAAATATGTAAGCTGAGAACTGAAAGTATAGTAAGTCCCCAACTTAGCAATGAGTTTCGATTAGGGAGAACATTCATAACTCAGATTCACTCCTAAGTCTGACAAAGTGAGTCTTATATACCCTGGACACAAATATACAATGTAAAGCATAAAAAACCAAACACTCACACACACAAATACTTCTGCACATCCTGGGCTCTGAGTGAGCATTGTACTTCTGTACACTATCACACTGTACAGTATCCACACAGCAGCACAGGCCAGACCATGTCCAGCAGACACATGAGCTACTCCCATTATTTGTTTGCATCTTCGAATATTCCTAATGAGAGGTCTGTTATATCTGTGAAAACTTGCAACTCAAAGGTTTGTAAATTGGGGACTTAATGTAAACAAGACTTAACAAGGTGCTGAGAGAGGAACATCTTTGGCAGAGGGAAAAGCTGTGACAGGCTCTGGGCCAGAATTTGGAAGCCTGAGGAACTAAGAACAGAGAGAGCAGAACAACATGGGCTGGTGAGAGCAGCAGGTTCCAGGGAGGATTAGGCTGTTGCTCTTGGTACAATGGGATAGATTTAAAGCAGAAAAGGGAAATCATCTGATTTACTTTTTAAAAGAGCAATCTAATTGTTGGGTAAAAAATGGAGGAGAAGATAGAAGAGTGGCAAACACACAAGGATGATGATGAGGATGAAACTAATGTTTGAGAACTCAGTGTGTGGCACAGTTCTAAGCATTTCAGTGATGAATTCAGTACTCACTACAACACTATCAAGAAAATGCTACACTTATTACTTCCATTGTCAGATGAGCAAACTAAGGTGCAGAGAAGTTACTCAATTGCCCAAAGGCTCAAAGGATTCAAAGATTTCAGGAGGGACTCAGTACATGCAGTATGGCTCCCAGAGGGAACGCTCTTAACTGCCAGACTACACTTGATGGCAACCTAATGTCCTGGTGGTATGAGAAAATCACTTAAGACCTGAAAACATTATACTGACCTTTCTGATTGTATGTATATGTGTAGTTTCTTAATCATTTTTACATTTCAACCATGTCTTCTCCCACCCCTAAAAATCTGATGAGTGCTATGGGCACTTGTCCTAGTAACACCTCAAAAACACTCCAATTTCAGAAAGTTAGTTCCTAAATGGATTTAAGTTTGAACAATTCAAATATATATAATGAAAGGATCACAATCAGTTCTACCTATAGTTAATAATTTATTAAGCTTAACAGTAGGATACTTTATGGTTAAACAATAGTAGCAGCAGGCAAGTAAAGTCTAGTCTAGTCTGATTCATGGTCCAAGGAAGTCCAAATTGCTTTGTGAGTTACATGTGAAAGATTTGGATTATGAGACAGCAATATCAGTAGACATTTATACACCCGCAAAAAAATAATCCAAATACATCCTAAGAAAATATAAAAACTAGGGTTTGGGTTACAGAAAATATATTCTAAAAAAGTAAAAGATAAAAGCTTAATTATAAACTTCCACATAATGACATGAAATGCTTGGTCTATATTGAAAGCAACAGCAGATATCCCATAGTGAATGAAAAACTACAAAGAAAAACAATAGAACTCTTAGGATATTCAAATGACAGATGGGGTGAGTTTCTCCTATTTTTAAGAGTATCAAGTGACTATTCAACATTTGAATTAAAATCAGTAATATGATTTCAAAATAATCATTAAAAACACATTTTAAGGCTTTTATAAATTGTGTAAAACTTTCAGAATTTATACTTACCCTGTAACTTCAATAAAACTAAAAATGTTCAGTAATAAGTCATAACTAATTATAATCAAAACATTCTATAGCTACAATTCTTATTCGAACTGAGAAACTGCTAGAGAAGAAAACCTAACAAGGAAGCATTAAAGCTAACAGTATTCATACAAAGCTTTTGATCCATTTATGGTAGAAAATTTGTAAAAATGACCACAATAATTGCCCTTCCTGAATCCATACTCTTTCATACTGACTCTGGACATATTCCCATGACTTGTTTTGGACAAAGCAACAATAACAGTGACACAACTGGAAAAATGAAAAGTACTTGCATACTGGAACTTGCCTTTTTTTGCTACTTTGGGAAACCCTGAGACCACAAGAAGTTGACAGTGCTTCAGCCTCTGCTGAGAGCCAGATGTGAGTAAAGTCATCAGCTGCAAACACGAGTGAGCCAGATGCACTACGTGGGTATAGCTGATCCCAGCCTAAACTGCAGGCTCAGAATTGTGAAAAAATAATAATGGTTGGTTTAAACTAATACTTTTGGGCTGGTTTGTTACAAACCAAAAGGTACCTGACACACTGCATAAAATCCAGCTATTCTCTTTATGCCAGTTATGAATTTAATATTTGCCTTTAAATATTACCTAGGTCATAATCCCATTAGTGAGTGATGAAATCAATAAAGTAGGTTACAATAACCAATTCCTTAAAAATCAAGAAGTATAGCTGGGCAGAGTATCACAGGTCTATGATCCAGGCATTTAGGAGGAGGAGGTAGGAGGATCATGAGTTCAACCTAGCCTGGGATACATAGTGAGAACCTACCTCAAAAACCAAAGAGGAGGGGAAAAAAGTATTAAGTGCACCAAATGTAAAATGGGTGTTACTTCATTATAATAAATAAAATATGTATGTGGTATGCAGGTACACATTCACAAACATACACACGTACTTGTATATGTTCTGGGAAGGAATGTAAACTGCATTTCTTGCTTTTAATTATGATGGAAAAAATTGAAAGCTACTCTCTCCAAATACAGACTACTTTAGAGGGTGTACATTAGTTAATATAAGCTTTAACTGAGTATGTAAATTTAAGACACCAAAAGTAAATTTTATAAATTTCAAAATTTTAAAGACTAAAACTTTGTCCAGTAATTATTTTTATGCATAATAAGTAAGATATTATTATTCAATAGAAACAATGTTGGGTTCAATAATTTAACTGCTATATGAATTATATTTATTTTACATTTATATTATATTTTCTTCACATACCTAGTACCATATTAAAAAAAAAATCATCATTCTCATCTATTAAAGAGTCCATGCAAACGATGCTTCTGAAAAGAACAGGCTTCCTTGAAGAGAGTCTGGAGAAGGTATGAAACTAGATATAAACACCCAGAATATACCACTTCACTATTCTGATCACCAAACTATAAAAATGAGAAAAAAAGCAAATCAGAAGCTCAAGAGCCAAATATACTTTAGTTCAATATTATCAGAGATCATAAATGTACTGTTTTTAACTAACTCACATATTCATTAAAATGTTTTAGTGGACATTCATGTTATATAATATACTTCTAGAGATATATTCACGTATAAAATGACTTCTATAATCTTGCAACTGTAGAAGAGAGAAATAACAACTGGTCAAGTGCATGACATTTTAACACTCTATTACCAAAAAAAAGTACTAATTAACTAGTGATTTTCATTTATGTAACAAATAGCAGTACCAAAACTGGCTATGCCCTACAAATTCTAGGCAAGCTTTTCTGCCTTAGAGTTGATTCAGAAATGTACAAATGGACTAAGAACTAACTTCTCTTTGTAATCTAGGCACTAATTGTTAAGGTGATCAATCACTAATCCACCAATGCTATATGACAGAACAATTTCAGGATCACTGACTCAACATAAATCCTATTATTTATTTCTTATAGAGAAAAAATTTTTTAAAGCCCATTTGTATGATTTCAATATACCCATTTATTTTGAAATAAATATTATATACATGCTCTTTGTACTATGGAAAAGACCATCCCATTAACACTGAAATGTAAACTCTTATGTACACACTTTCTTACTCAGCCCCTTTACTCACTGATTCTAGGCTAATTTAAAGTGCACCTAGACCTGTTATGCACATTACAGTGTACAAATGTACTTTCAATTACATGAAAGACTGAGGAGGGGAGACCACATTTTTTGGAATGATGGATTCTTGTGTGGCACAGACATGCTGAACACATCCCATAAGAGCTCCTAAGATATGCACCACTGTCTGCAAATAAAAGACATTTCATGCTAGGTATATATTTTTATGTACAATAAAAAAGTATGAGACATTATGCTGGGTGCTAGGGATACAGCAGTGAACAAAACAGTCACTGTTTCTTTTTTCACAGAACTTGTGTATCAAAGAACTACCAATATTGGAACAACTAGTAAACCACCTAGAATCCTAACCCACACCTCAAAGCACACGGCAGGTATTCCACACATATGCCTTGAAATTAGAGGGAGGCATGCTATCTTGACTTATCTTCTTGTAAGAATACAGATATTTAACTAGAATAAAATTTTATTTAAAAATTCAGATTCATCTTTCTGTACTGATATCTGTAAGTCCATAAATTTACTTCCAGCATTAGGCCATTACATGAGGAGGACATGGCTAATCAACATCAGCATAAAAATTCTCACTTTCCACCCATGCCTCCCATACATTTAAATCACTAGTAAAATATTCCTTAAGAGTGGTCTGAATTTCTAGATTTTGGCTTGACAGTCCTCCGGCTTGAGTTAATTCATACATCATCTCTTCATATAATTTTATAGTCTGTGAAACCAAATCAGGTTATAAATAAATAGGAAAAATATAAATCATTAGAAAAGGACTGTTTTTTTCCTTCACGTTATAGCTTGTGTTTAAACATGTGTAGAAATGAGGAAACTATTAACAATAATCCAGGTGGTAGGAGTTTAGAATCAGTGGTAGCAATAGGCATGGAGATATATGGATTGACTCAAGGTAAGTTAGGAATGAGAAATAATAATTTCCTAACTATGAGAGATAGAACTCGAGGTTCAGTTTGAATTTTTGTTTTGTTAGGGTTTTTTTTTTTTTTTTTAAGGCTTTGGTTTATAAAATCACTTAGATGAAGAAAACTGGAAGAAGAGATATGAGTTCTCCTAAATATGTTAAATTTGAGATATAAAGCAAGGTGGGAATGTTAACTTTCTTTTTTATTTTTCCAACTGAGTTAGTCTTTTTATTCTTTTGGTGATCTCTTCCAGGGTTAACTACTTCCACTGCAGGTGATGAAATATATATAAGGCTCCACTTCAAATGGTGACACTGCTATGAGCATGGTCTTTTCCCCTTCACTGCAACTCAGAATTAAAACTTTGATCCTTGTCTTATATTCCAGTCCCAGTAGTTTCCACTGCAGAAGTTATCTGAAGACAGTCTTATGCTTTCTAGCAGTGCTGTGACCAGCCTCTATCTTCTCTATGAACACTACGATCAATTTAGTTTACACATGTATTAAACTAAGAGGCATTCTCTCAAATGATTTTAAATGCACTTTATTTTTGGACAACCTACATGACATGTTTTGGGTTTTTTTCCCCAAAAAAACAATGCCTCCACTCCAAATAAATCACGGTCAAAAAAATGAAGGGTTCAATATGACATCAGTCCCATTTGTCTAAAATCCCAGTGTTGTGTGGATGACAAGCAGCAGCCAGTTATGACAAGTGATAGATCCAAGGTAACCGCCAAATCCATTAACATTTTTCCCTTTCTAAACCATGCTTAAAGAAAATCATAAATGGGGTCACACCATCCTCACGATAGTCCAGGAGAGCAACCATGCCATCTGGATTCATGTTTGCACCAATAAAGAACTGATAGTTTTTGAAATTAGCAAGGATGTGCTTGATTTGTTCTGCAGCCCCTGTCATAAAACGTTTCACTCTTTCTGGTTTTGTTCTTCCAGTTTGCCTTTGATTGATTTCATATAGTCTTTGACGTACTTCTTGTAGGCCTCTTATGAAGCTGGTTTCCTGCAAGTGAGGGTTCATGACAATATCAACACCAGTGACTACTGTGCTTTCGGTACCTTCGCCCTCCCGGCCTTCAGCGGAGTCATTTCCACCAATGAGCGTGTCATCAATGTGACCCTCTGTATTACTGACCATCTTGGCCTCCACCTCCAGGCACAGCCTGCCCGCGATCTCCCGGATCTTGTAAATGTCAGAGACTATCTCATCGTGGCTGATGAGGTCCCATAATCATGATGGTGGCTGCTAGCTTCGCGGGAGCCTGGAGCTCAGAGTGGGCACTGAGCAACCAACCTGAGCCGCGCAAACCAGGAGGGGGGAGCGGGTGGAAAAGAGGGAATGTTAACTTTCAGTTAGGTGAAGTTCCCATAAGTCTGAGAGGACAAGGAACCATGTTCCTTATCTTTTCTGCCATAAAGCTAACACAATGTCTGACACTGTGTACACAATAAGTGGTTTTGAGTAGAAGGATGGTCATTTGTTTCCAAGCTGGAACTCCTCAACGATAGAAATCCATATCTGCACAATAACTAAAAAGGGCTTTGGTAACGTATGGAATTTTGCTAATGCCAAGGCATTATTCTACGATTTAATGTTAACAATATTACTACATGATAATATTAGTTAAACTGGGCTTTCACTGTGAAAAATTATGCAGTGTCGAGGCTTTCTTTAGCAAGAGTCATTTTTTTTCTTTAGAGTATAATTTTATGTCGAAGGTGAGCTCAACGAGGTAAAGGAAAAAGTACCTTTTAACAGGTGGGGAGACTCCAGCTACACTGACAAGCACAGGGACATTAAAAAACAGAGAACTGTCTGTACTTTGCAACAGTGACATTAAATACCTCAAAGCCAGGGCCGAGGATGTAGCTCAGTGGTAGAGCACTAGCCCAGCATGCACTTGGCCCTGGGCTTGAACCCCAGCCCCACCAACAACAAAAGACATAACCAGTCAAAGTGCTTAGCACAGAACCTGGCACGTAAAAAGTACCGAAACAATGTTAGTTATTAAAAGTAAAAAATAAAAAAACTCAAATGGAGCAGCTGAAAGTCAACAACTCAAGCAACTCTTTTCAATCAGTTATAATCAAGAGGCCCGAGGAGGAGGAGGAAAATATTTGAATTAACATATTTTTAAAAGATCTGGCACCTTGATAGAGCTCTGTCCTTTCATTCTCAGAACACCGAGAAGGGGTGACGACTCAGATTCCGCACCCCGTGCGCGGATGTTTTGTACAAGCTCAGAGAATCCCTCTTCGCCACAGCAGCCGCGCCCTAGCTCCAGTCTGTGTCCTCGCCTCCCCCACGGCCCGCAAAGGCTGGCCTGCAACTAAGGAGCACACAGAAACCACCAAGGAAGAGAAATGGGAAACGCCGCGGCCCGCCGAAGCCTCGCAAGTCTGCGCGCCCCAAGCCGAAGGCCTGGTCTCGCGGACGCTCAGGCCCCACCGTCTTCGCGCTCCCCGCTGGAGATAGGGTCTGACGCACGCCGCCCTGCGAAGCAACAGTAACCAAGGATATGAGGAGCCGGGGCGAACAGATGGCAGCTCCCGGCGGCACTGCTCCTCCGGCCAGCTGCGCAACTCCTCCAGGGTGCTCTAGCCTTCCTCGGACATGCGGCCACCTGAGACGCCAACTTCAAACCACTCTCACCTCAGCCAGGACCGGAAGTCCAGCCATCCCGGCAAGCCTTGCGAGACCTCATCTGGACTGAATCCTAGAGAGGACGCGGCCTAGGCTCCATGGCGGCCAAGAGGGAAACCGGGCCTATCTGGTTCCCGGGAGGAATCCACTCAGTGATGCGCACTTCCTGAAGCAGAGGACTTCAGAACTCTCCAGACCACTTGCCTCCCAAGCCTGGGTTGCTGCAGACTTTCCATTATCTGGCGCTTGGGGAAGGTGAGGGCCAGAGTTTGCAAGCCTTGATTCCTTGGGTCTTGGAGGTTGCCCTTCTAAGGTCAGGTTTTCCCAGGACCCGTCCACGAAGTGACTCACAACCCCTCCTGAGTCGTGGAATCGGGGATATGCACCCCATATGTATCCTAGGGGTAGAGGTGGAATAAAGACACACTAGGACTTCTGTGAAGATGGAACAGGTGGTATAGAGCTCTGGCACTATGGGAGGCTGAGGCAGGAGAGTCTCAGGTTCCAGACCAGACTAGGCAGTTAATGAGACCCTGTTAAATAAAATTGTAAAATAAAAAATTGATAATAATAATAAAAAGGGGTTAAGAGTGTAGCTTAGTGAGCCTCTGGCTCAATCTCCAGTACTGGGAAAAAAAAAAGGTTTGTACCACTTTCTCCACTTCCTATGGTGTTCATGTAGAAAAGGTTAGTGCAATGCCCTTATTTTGTGATCAGCTCAACAACCAAACTAATTTTTATTAATTACTCCCAGATGACCCCAGTCTCCTACAATGTGGGCTGACGGTCAGGACCAGATGTCTGTAGTAAAATAATTTGGTTGAATTTACACACTCCAACGCATACCTGTGAATGTTTATTTTAAAGCAATGGTCACTTTCCAAAGTACAGTCGTCAACTCCTGCGTTTTGATGCACTAATAAAGTAAATAAATCCTGGAGATTCTAGGGCTGGCCATGCTCAGGTCCAGTCAGGACAGCTGAAAGACACTGAATAGGCTGTCCTATCCCAAAATCTTAGACTTTGTTCTACTAGTGGTGGCAGTAGCTGCTCTACTGTTGTTCTTCCTTGGTTTGTTTTTACAGTTTATTTTCTCCAGCTTTTTTAAAATTAATTTTATTGGTACATTTTAGGTATATAATATAATGACATTCATCATTGGAAATTTACACCTTTACATAATCTCTCTTGGTTCTTATTTTTTCCCCATTCCCCTGCCTGCCCTTCAACCCCTCCATCCCTCCCTATTTACAAAGACTTTGTTTCCATTTTTTCATTTTTTCATATTAATTCCATTCCCTTCTTTCCTTTTCTCTACCCCTCCCACTTCCCCTTCCCCTTTCCCTTTGCCCCTTTTCTTCCTATTTCACATTATCTATTATACCTTACACTTTCAGATTCTCACACTAGAGAAACTTTTCGGTATTTACACATGTGTCCTATTTCACTTAAGAGTATCACCTCAGTGTGCATCCATTTAGCTATAAGTGTCCCTAATTTCTCATTTTTATGGCTGAGTAGTACTCCACTTTAAAAAACAGCATGGTAGTGGTAAAAAAAAAAAAAAAAAAAACCCAGCATGGTACTGGTAAAGAAACAGACTTGAGGACCAGTGGAACAAATTAGAAGATGCAGAAACAACTCCAGACACACTCAGCTACCTCATCTTCAACAAAGGAGCCAAACACCCTCACTGGAGGAAAGATAGCCTCTTTAATAAATAGTGCTGGAAAAATTGAGTTTCAACTTGCTAAAGATTAAAACTAAACCTATATCTCTCATCATGCACTAAACTAAAATTGAAATGGATCTAAATATTAAAATAGAAACGCTGAACCAGCTGGAACAGAGGTTAGGTAGAAGTCTTGAAGACATTGGTGTAGGAAAAGATTTTATGAACAAAACCTCAGTTGCCTGTGAACTAGCACAAACAATCAACAAGTGGGATCTCTTCTTACTAAAAAGCTTCTGCACAGCAAGAGAAACCACCAACAGTGTGAAGAGACAACCCAAAATCTGGGGAAAAATTTTCACCTGCTGTTGCTCAGACAAAGGTATCTTGAATCTATAAAGAACTTAAAAAAAATCAGACCTCCCAAATTTAAAGACCCATTCTCCTCCAGTTTTTGAACCCGTAACATTTCTGCATGTTTTCCAAAAATCTCTTCTCTCCCCCTACAGCTGTTTTAGAAAAGGCAGTTGTATGGGGTAGGGTAGGTAAATTTTAGTGAAATGTGCCATTTTACTTTAATCATCATTTTATTTTTTTCTCCAGGGTCAAATAAAAGAGAATCAAAGACCTCTAAAAAAAGTCTTTGGAAACATCTCTAAGTGTTCATAGTGGTGTATAAGCAGCCAAAGAGAAATTCACCTCAGTGGAACTAATTGAATAATTGAGGTAGGTTTCTGTGTTTAATCAAATTTTATCCAGAAGTTGGGTCTGCTGTGCATTTAATATGAACATAAACTTTCAATTTAATTTCACCATAGAAGACCATCTATATAAATGAATTGACACCCCATGAGGATGGAGCTTTGACTTTAGATTCCTCAAAAGTATCATCAGCTTCAGAATGTCAGAAATGAAAACAAAAGGAGAGAATAAAAGTTCTGTAGAACAGTCTGACTTGCTCCTGGAGCACTTGTGGTAGCACAGGTCAGAGGGAAATATGACTCCCTCTGAAGACACTGAAGGCCCACTCATTACAGCCAATAGTTCAAGATCTAACAGACATAAAACATTTTATAAAATATCAACAGAGTACACATTCTTCTCAGATGCACATAAACATTTTCCAGGATAGAACATAGGTTAGAAAATAAGTCCCAGTAGATTTAAGGAAAGATACCACACAAAAGATCTGCCCTACACACGAGGGGATGAAGTTAAAAATCAGAAACAAACTGGAGTCTCCACAAGTTTGTGGAAATTAAGTAATATGCTCTTAATGAATCAAAGAAGAAATCACAGAAAAAATTAGAAAATTAAGAAATTTTCATTAAGGACTAATGAAAATGAAGACACAGCTTTCCAAAACTATTGGAAACAGCAAGGAGAAATTTATGGGTACAAATACTTGCATTAAAGAAAAATCTCAAATCAACAACCTAACTTTGCGGCTTAAATAACTAGAACAAGAACTATATACTAATCACAAAGCTAGCACATGGGAGGAAATAAAGAATGGAGAACATATAAGCAAAATAAAGAATAGAAAAACAATAGAGGAAATCATTGAAACCAAAACATGGTGTTTCAAAAGATCAATTTAAAAAAAAAATCAATAAAGTTGATTCATGTTTAGATACCTAGACAGATAACAGAGAATTCAGAAAACTAAAAGCCGAAGTAAAAGTAAGGGCAGAAATAAAAAGAATCATAAGGGTACTACTAGCAATCACAAACCAACAAATTTGATAATCTAGATTAAATGGAAAAATTTCCAGAAACAATACCTATCAAGACTAAAGAAGAGAAAAATCTGAATAGGATGTATTATTAATAAGAGTAAATTATTAGTCAAAAATTTCCTACCAAGAAAAAGCCCTAAACCTGATAATTTCATTCATAAATCTTTCACACCAATCCTCTCCTTTTCCAAAAACTTGCCTCATTCTAGCCAGACTACTTACCTCTGGCCAGTATTACCCTCATACCAAAAGCTACACAAAGACAAAATTAAAGACCAATATATTTTATGAATATTGATGTAAAAAAAACTCAACAGAATGCTAGCAAATCAAATATAACAGCATATTAAATCCAACACAAAAAATTAGCTGTATTTAGACACTAACAACAATCAGAAGAGGGAACTAAGAAAACTCCATTTGCAATAGGATCAAGAAGAAGAAAATACTTAGAAATTAAGGAGATAAAAAGACTTATACAATGAAAAATTCAAAACAGTCAAAGAAATTAGAAATGGAAGTACATGAAAACACATTATATATTCCTGGATTGGAAGACTTTCTATTATCGAGTTATCAGTATTACCTAAAGTCATATGTAGATTAATGATGCATATGAAAATCCCAATGATGTTTTTTGCAGAAGTAGAAAAACCCATTTTTCAATTAATATGCAACCTCAAGGGAATATTAATAGCCAAAACAATCATGAAAAAGAAAAAGCTGAAAGACTCATACTTCTTGATTTCAAATGTTATTACAAAGCTGTAATAATCAAAACAGTGTGGTGCTAGTATAAACAGTAATATACACCAGTGGAATACAACTGAAAGCTGAAAAATAAACCATACCATATATGCTCAAGTGATTTCAGTGAAGCTGCCAAAGACATTCAAGGAAGAAAGGACAGTATTTTCAACAAATCGTGCATGGAAACTGGGCATCTGCATGAAAAAAATGAAGTTGGACTCTTGCCTAGCACTATACACAAAAATTAACTCAAAATGAGTTAATATCTGAACACAAGGCTTAGATACCTATGAAACTTTTAGATGAAAACCTTCACAACATTGGATTTGGCAATAATTTCTTGGTTTTGACACAAATAGCAGAAGCAACATGAAAAATAGATAATAGACCTCATGAAAAGTTTAAAATTCTGTGCATCAAAAAACATCAACAGACTAAAAAGACAACCCATAGAATGGGATAAAATATCTTCCAATCACATATTTAGAAGGGATTACTATCCAGAATATCTGTGAACTTCTAAAATTTAACAAGAAAACAACATAATTTATAGACCAGCAAAGGACTTGAATAAACATTTCTCCAAAGAAGGTGTACAGTTGGCCAATAAACACATGAAAAGATGCTCAGCATCTAATCATTAGTGTAATGCACATGAAAACTAGAATTAGGTACTACCTCAAACCCATTAAGATGGCTACCAGTAAAAATACAGAAAAGTTAGGGAGGATGTGCAGAAATTAGAATCCTTGTGCACAGTTGGTGGACATGGAAATAGTACAGCTGTTATGGAAAACAATAATAGTTCCTTAAAATTAATAGAGCTATATAATCCACCAATTCCACATGTGAGTATATTCAAGATGATTGAAAACAGGGTCTCAATCAGATGTTTGTACACTTATTCATAACAGCATTGTTCACAATAGCTAAAAGGTGGAAATAACTCCAATGTACCTGAATGAACAGCTAAGAAAAATGTAATATGTATTCATACCCACAATGAAATATGATTCAGCCTTAGGAAGGAAAGAAATTCTAACATATGCTATAATATGAATGAACCTTGAGGATGTTATGCCATGTGAAATAAGTCAATCACAAAAGCACAAATACTTTGAGATTCCACTTACGTAAGGTACTGTAGATCTAAAATATTCTGTAGACCTTAAATTCTGTAGACATAAAATACTATGATGGTTGCTAGGTGGCATGGGAAGAGGGAAAGAAGGGCATAATCTTAGTTTGGGAAGATGAAAAGAGCTCTGGATGGTAGTGATAAGTGTACACTTAAAAAGGTTAAGGTAAATTTTGCTATGCATATGAATTGATTTACCAGCTATTTTTTCTTATACCCTAACTAGTAAATTTATATATCTAAGGAGCTAAGGAAATCCATAAATTTGACTTTTGCTTAAGATGAAAATATACTCTCCAAAGCCCTGATGATGAAATTGGGAAGGTATCTGTAGAAATAGGAACAAACAGGCAATGGTCCCTTGATGCCCAAGCCATGTGTAAACTTGCTAGGCTGTAGGGTAAATATGTATGTATTTAACTACATAAACTATTTATTTGGTTAAACATGCAGTGACTACAATTTTGCATTCCCACCAGCAGTGTATATGAGTACCAGTTGCTCCATATCCTTGCCAGAACTTGAAACGGTAAGCTTTTTAAATCCTTGCCATTCTAGTGGGAATGTATTTGCCTTTCTCCAATGACAAATAATCTTGAACATTTTAAATGTACTTGTTGCCATTTATATATCTATTTTGATGACATTTATTCAAAAGTTTTGCTTATTTTAACAATATTGATCTTATTGAGATGCAAATATTTTTTTTGTTGGGAAAGTTTCACTGCCATTTTTATTCAGTCATCTTTTTAAAATTATTCTGATATTAATCAAAGTGTACATTCACAGCTGAAATTCTTACCAATGTATCAATATATGTATGCAGAGATGTTTGATTTTTCTTTGTATTTTAAGTTTATTTTTATTAGTATATATTTGTTATACATATTGATCATATTCATCATAGGGAACTTTTACCTGTACATAATATATCTTAATTCTTCTCTTTTTCCCACTCCCCTCCCCTCCCTTCAAGCCTTCTTCCCCTCCTTTCTTACAAGAGCTTTGTTGCTGTTTTTTCCTTTCATTCTTTTTTTCTTTTCCCTTTCATCTCTTTTCCCTCCCCCCTGTCTTGCAGCCATTACCATTTGAACATGTCCTTCCTACTTTCCCATATCTGTCCTCTATTCCACTTATTCCCTTTGGGTTTCTCACAAAATGTTAACTTTGGATTTTTAATATATATTCTTTATTATGTTGAGGACATTTACTTCTACTCCTAGTTTGCTGATAATTTTCTTCAACAAAAGCATTGAATTTGAAAATAGTAAATGAAGGGAGATAATTATATACACTTTTTTTAGTCTGTTGAATTGATGTTATAGTTATAGTTTTGAATGTTGAACTAACACTGAATCCTTAAAAAGAAACACTTTATTCACAAGATGTTATTAAATTTAAACACTGGTGGGTTCAGCTTATTAAAATTTTGTTAAGGACTTTTGCATCTATATTCATGGAGCGTAGTGGTCTATAGTTTTATTTCCTTGTAATGTTTCTGTCTAGTTTTGGTATCAAGACAATGCTGACTCATAACTTTTGGAAGAATTTATATAAAATTTGTATTTTTTTGTAAGTTCATGATAGAATTCAGTAGTGAAGATGGTCTGGAGTTTTTGAGGTGACAGGCTTTTAAATTCTAATTTAATTGCCTTAAATGTTATTGGTCTACTTAAAATATTTATTCTTGAGAATGTTGAAATAGTTTGTGTCTTATGAGGCATTTGTCCTTTCCACATGTGCTACAAATATATTTTGAAAAGTTGTTTATGCTATACTCTTGATATCTTTCTAATTTCTACAGGATCTAGCAATTTCTTTCTCTTTTAATCCTGATGTTAGTAGTTTGTATTTTCTTTTTTTCTTGATTAATATAATTAAATAATTTCTTAATTTTATTTTAAAAGTTTACTTATTTTGCTGTAAACTTTTTATCATTCACTTTATCTTTAAACTGCAATTACTGTTGTTATCCTAATTGTGTCCTTTCTTCTTTCTGTTTTATCTGTTTTGTTTCTAAACTCTTAAGTTGGAAGTACTGATTATTGATTTGAGACTTTTCTTTATTTTTAATACAGTGTAAGTATTCAATAATATAATCATTTCCTAAACATTGCTTTAACTAAGTACCACAGAGTTTTTAACTGTTTTGTTCTATTTAATTGACATATGAGTAAATATATATATTTAAAATATATGATTTTATAAATTTGTAAACATATATATGTGTGTATATATATATATGTATGTGTATATATATATATATATGTGTGTGTGTATGTATATATATATATATATAAATTAATCTCCGGTCAAGGTAATAAACACACACACACACACACACACACACACACACACACACATATTCTTCACTCCCAAACACTTCCTAATGCTTTTTTATAATCTCTCCCTCCTATCCTTCTTTATCCCTATTCATCTGGGCAATCATTGATCTGTTCTCTGTCACTATAGATTAGCTTACTTTTCTATACTTTTATACAGTTGAAATAGTACAATATCTACTCTTCTTTTATAAAGCAAAATTATTTTAAGATTCATCTATCCTATAGTGTGTATTAATAGATAATCCTTTTTATTGCTTAATAACAGATATTTATCCCTTCACCTGTTGACTTAAACATTGTCACTACTTTATGTGATTATGTATAAAGTTGATTTGGTATTTGTGTTTTCAATTTCCCTTAATATATGCTTTCATTTTCTGTTGTATAAAATATATAGGAATGGAAAGGGTGAAGCAAACACTACATATACTATGATTCAAGACACTGAAATCCATTATTCAAAGTAGCTACCCACCTACATTCCCACCAGCAGAGAATAAGAATTCCACTTTTTCTAATACTGTATTTTCTGCTGAAATTCATATTTCACTTGAAAACTTGTCTGAAAATTTTTCTTCAACATTTCCAAACTCTTAAGACACCCGTTTTTATTTATAAATCAAAACCCTTCAAGCTATAATTACTCTTTAGATAATAGAACACGATGGTGCATTTTTACCAAAAATACAAGCTTCCCAACTGATGAAGCCTGATTTGCTGTCAAAGCTAAGATGTGAGTCTGGCTGTAGTGTTGCCAGCCGGCCCAAGAGAATGGGATAGTCTGCAAAGAAATGAGAGGAGAGAACCTCTGGCTCCAGCATCTGGTTACATGAGACAATATAGTCTAGATTTTGCCTTCAACAGTGTAGTGTGTGCTGTCCTTGCCCACAAATACATATTCTAGTTGGTGAGACCATGGTAACACAATAACAACATAGGAAACAATAAGTGAACAAGACAGAATATTATACAGTGCTAGTTTATATTTTTCTGCTTCTCCCATGTCCCTTGCCAAGCTAAGACTCCTCACCCAGTGCAGCCGGTATCAGGCAGTTTGGACTTAAACCGGATCCTTTTCTCTTTCAGCAGTCTGAAGGAATTTGTTTGAGAAATGCATGGAGGTGACTGGTACTCATACTTGTGCTTGTAAACTAGTGTTACAATTTATAATTTTATACTCCTTTATGTCTTTTAAAACTCCTAGCGGGCTTTGTCATGATGAGTTCTCTTAGAGTTTTTTAGTTAAAAGGTCTTGTTTTTGGATATTTTCATAGTCCATTTTACATGTTAGGAAGTTGCCCACAGATAAAACATGAAAATATCAAACCTTTCTCATAGGAATAAAAACCTAGCTCTAAAAGTCTTTTGTCTACCTGGGACAATCCACTTATTCATAAAGAAACTTCTACTAATATTTGGTATGGTAAAAAATTCCTTCAAAGCACTGTCATGGTATATACCATGACTTGTAAACTCTAAATGGTTTGAAATCTGATTAACTAAAAGATACCTCAGCTTATGCTTACTCTTGGTAATAAAAGATGGTGAAGCTACACTTGGGATTTTGGTAACCAAAGACCAATTCTTTTCTCTAAGGCTCTTCAGTCCAGTCAAAGGCAGACAGAATCCGTTAATTGAATATTGTGGAATGTTGATAACATCTGTATTTTCCCATTCAGGAAACATCTAGAAAGTAGTCTGTGATTACCTTCTTTTTCCCTTCAGAAAAAAATTTAGTCAGATTAATGACTGTAAATGTATTTACAATATATTTATGTATCCCAGCAACCATTGGTGTAATTTAATTGAATAAACATTACACAAAAAGTCCAAGTAGCTTAAAAAGTGACTAGCTAAGGTAATGTGAGTGATAGAAACTACAGGGTAATTTTCAAGGTGATTGAATTCCAGAGTGAATAAACTTCAAGATAGTAATAGAGAAGCTATGCCAGAAAGAGCAATGCCTGGGTCTCCTTCTAGCCAACCTGACCAATGCAATCAAGCCAGAGCTTTACCAGATGCCTACAGGGTCTGAAAGTATTGGCAGCTACCCAGTACTGCCAAGAATGAGGAGACTAGAGTATTTTTTTCAGTAAAAATCAAACAGCAAATTCTGTCCCAGCTGTACTATATGCTGTGCAAGGGAGACATCTTGTGTTCCCCTGGGCCTAGAGGCTTTATTTTAGGATCAATAGAAGCTTGTCCTTCATGAGCCAGGAGGATCTCTTAGATGGTAAATTTATTCTGAAAAGTCAAACACAATCTACACTCAGACTATAGATGAGGCCACTTGAGTTAAGGTTGAAATTCTTCAATCTCTCTCTTTTTTTTTTTAAGATTTAGACTTGGAATATACAAAGAATGCCCCAAAATAGTAATTTCAAAAGCTCATCAATTTCCCAGGCTACGTTAAAAATTTAAATTAGAGCTATTATGTTTATGATGGTGATTTTAAATGCAATTTGATAAATACTTAGAGTCTATTGTGTGCTGAGTGGAAACTAGAGTCATTGCTGCTTTAAGAGAGTTTTAGTCTAAAGGAAAACAGAGATGTATTTTAACAGGGCTATTTGGCATGTTAGAAATTAGAAAGAGCATCACACATAATTGCAGCTATAGTCACAGACCAAATTTCTGAATTCCCTGGGCTTGGGCAAAGAGCCTGAAAAGAATATGGGAAAGCAGATGGCTACTCCTCTGGGGCAGTCCTATACAGGGGTAAGGAAAGGGTTCTGCAAGTCACTCTGCCTCTTACTGGTACCATGCAATGGAAATGCAAAAGGAACTTGGATACCTGTTGCCAAATATATTTAAAATTGTTCTGGAAGAGAAAGCCACTACATGCATCAGTTCAACACGCTTAGAGCTTAAGAGTGAAAGGGGCAGAAACACAACCGGAAAGTAATAGGCCCATGGTTCCAGAAGTGGTCCCCGGGGGCCTGTCCAATCCTAAGTAGCAAGGAGAAACAAGTGGCAATGGAATTTGACCTGAAGCCTTTGGAGGCTTAAGCTTTAAACAAAGCCTCAACCTTGCAAACAAAGTTCTGCTTGTAGAAATATTATCTTTCAGTGAAGCACTGTGTTGGGGCCCAGAAGGGTTTAACCAATCACTGGCATGTTAGGGAGACTTTCTGGCAGGGTGTGACAATTTTGAGGTGGCACTGAAAGGCCTGGTGTGTTTACCTGTGTCAGCAAAGACTTTGACAGGACTAAGAGAAGGAACTGTGACAGGCCACCAGTTATCCATGCTGCTGGAAACACCACTAGCCTGGCCAGCCAAAGAAAAACACAGGGGCTGCCAGAAGTAACAAAGTAATGGACTTGCCATGAGAGGATATCAGTTCCGGATGATTGGTGTTTTTAGAGAAAAGACTCATGCAGAGTAGGTACCATGAACATTAAGACCTGAACTGATGGGGCTCATGGATTCAGGATGGAGCAGGGAGTGATTAGTGAAGAAATGAAGCATCAATGCAGAGAATTTATGTTCCCGAAGGAACAGTAAGGTGCAAATATTGGGGAAAATATAGAAGCCCACATTTTAAAGCATGGAATGTCAACGTCTAAGGATGCTTTATGGCATGAACACATAGTTTGGAATGAGAACAAGGGTTTAGGAAATGTAAACAGTGTTATTAACAATCAACAGCTGTGCTGTTGAGTCTCAGTAATGAGAAGACAAGATGTATATGAGATTTCACACACATTAATAACTCCCAAGAGTCCTTGGCTAAACATTCTTGAGCTAGGATTTATGAATTCAATTTAGGATCTCTTTTAAATTTCCCAAAATTTCCATAGGAACAGTTTAACTGTTTGGCCACACACTTTCTGATCTTTATTAAAAGCTTTTGCAGCTTATCAAATAAAACTATGAAATTTCTAGGAGATGCAAGTAGATTAAACATTTTGAATGGTTCCTAGATTTTAAAAATCCTAGAAAACTAGTGAATATCAGGTACAACTATGTAAATACAAAATCTCTCAATATTTTACTAGACTTTAGCATAGTATCTTGCACAAGTTTAGTATCTAGGAAAATCCTGGACTGATAAAGAATGAACTTTTCTCATTAATAAGTAAGCCCTATATAAAAGATACACCCATTTTATTTTTCTAAGAAGCAGAAGCATCATTTAATCTAGTAGTGCCAGATATCATCATTCAAAAAGTATTCACTCTATTTATCTGAATACTTATGAACTCAGATGTCTAGGAAATGTCAAATTATGGATATTCTTGTGAAATATGTAGCAGAAACTGTTCAATGTGCATTCTTGGGAAAACTAGCTCCAGTAGAGTCTCTGATTTTACTCAGATTTTAGCTACAGGTCCATTTCTTTACTGAACACACCTTTTCTTATCAGCACTGGAACTTTTCGATCAGAATCCCAATTTATTCCTTTCATATCAAACTACTTAGAAGAGAACAAGAGCTAATTGATCTTTTTAGCAATATATTCTTCATGGCTTCCCATCATGGATATCTGTCAAAGGTAAAACCAATCTCCAGAAGCCATTCACTTAAATTAATTTTTTTTCTTTTGCATTAATTTAAGTTAGAATGTTAAGTTATGAGAAGTTACAGTTGGGTATCCCAAATGACAGAAGAATCTGTATTTATCATAAAGGGTTTGACATGAAGAGCTATTAGTGAAAGGTTTGCAATCCTATATAGTTATAATTTGTGATGCATTCACATAGATCTTTATTACTGCATTATTACCACTTTGAGCAATAAACATTATAATTCTAAGTAGACTGTAAGGGGAAAATATGGTCCTACCCATAGATGACATGGCCAGAGGCGAATTAGATAGAATCTAATACAGAATGCAAGGAGAATAAAATTTAGAAAGACTGGTAAGTGATTGTGAGAATTGTGTAAAACAAAGCAGAAAGGAACAATTCAGTACTGCCTGGAGATTAGGATTGGATGTCCATGATGTAGCTGTCAAATTGTCAAGTACTACTAAATTATAGTAAAGAAAACAGAATTGGCTTTTGTGGCCACATTATTCAAATGCTTCCTATTGCATTTAGAAAAAAATCTTACCTCTTCATCATGGCCAACAGACTTATATGATGTGGCTTTGGCTGACTTGTCCAGTCTCATCTGCTTCAGCTTTCTATCTTTGTGACTCTCTAGTCACAGGGCCTTCTTTTGGACATAGAGAGATCCTTAAAGTGCTGATTTCAGTGTGTCCCACACACTGCTCTTTTCCCCTTCAAATGCTTTCTGTGATCCCCTCACATCGAGTTCTCCCTATGCTATGGATGACTCCAACATATCTTTAAAGCCTTAGCTTCATTTCCCTGCAATATGGGAGGCCTCTCCTGAACAATTTTAAGTGACTTTCTAGCATCCCAAGGACTCTCTATCATCTTTTCCTGTCTCCTTTATTTTTCTTCATAATATTTATTATGATGCAAATTATCCCCAATTTCCAGGGTTCTGTTTCTTTCAACTGGACTCAAACAACATTGGAAGTAAAAAGTTAGTCTGTCTTGTTCATAACTTACTTCAGGCACTTGGTGCCTATCACATGGAAGGAACTCAATAAATAGCTAGACAAATAGAAACTCAAATGGATTAAATGAAGTTCTGTTGTGGGTAATTGGATACTAATGTTGAGCTTATGAAAATTAAGTTTTCAAGAATCCAACCAAAGAAAGAGTTTATATTCACATTGTCTAGCTTTTATGTCCACAACCTTCTGACAAATTCAAGCAGAACTTCATCCCTATTTATCAGTCACTGCAAGCCTTTCATCTAGCCTCTCCTGTAATTCTCTTAGCTATTCTGTAAATGACAATGGGGCCCAACACACAATTGACTACATTTCAACTAAGGCTCCATTTGGTCTTCGGGTGTTTGGACTGGCTGGCTGTCAGGGCCTGGGATTTTGATCACTCAGAACAGGAGTTTGCGTCCAATTAAGGAGGCTTTCTACATCTGTGTCATGGCTCTGTTTCAAGTGCTCAGAGCTGCAGAGGATTTGAATTAAACCACAGCATCCCAGGGGGGAAAGTGGAGGCTTGGGAGGTCAATTATCTATGGTTGTAATCAAAATACTAGGCCCTGCGGCAGTTGATTTAAGGGAGGCTGCTTTGGCAGAGTGGTTTAGGAACTGGAGGGGCCAGAATGGTTCTGAGGCCTTGGTGAAAATCAAGAAAAGATTCGCTGACAGAAAATCACTTGGCTTGGCTGTATTATTCCATTTAATTGGAAAATATCGTAGGGTAGGCAAGGCTTAAGAGAGCATTAAAAATTTATATTATCCTCAATTAAAATATTTTGACTACGTACCCACAAAGGCAGGCTGTGGAACAGGACTCCAGCTACTGTGTCACCAACACACACATGAAGGTTAGCTTTCACATTTCCACACACTTCAGAGCTATTATTTGTGAACAACTTGGTGATTCGGTTATCCTGATACTATGGAAACAGAACAAAATAATGTTGTTGATTCTTCCTTCTTTTCTCCCTTCCTCCCTCAAATCCTTCTTTTCTCCCTTCCTTCCTTCTCTGTCTCCTCCTCCTCCTCCTTCTCCTTCTCTTTCTCCTCCTTTCCTTCCCCCTCTTTCTCTCTGTGTCCTCTTTAAGAGAATCTGATTTTGGAATCTTGAGTTCACATGTTCAGTTATCTTGATGTACTCACTTTTTCTCATAAGCAGGAAAGAGTGTTAGGTACCAGGCAACAAGGGAATTTTTGTTTTCCAATACCGCCTAGACTGTCCTCACTGTGTGCTCTGGTAATGGGAGAGGAAAGCCATCTGTTCTCCATCCAGTAGTCATGTCTTCCTGATCTGTCTCTTAAAATTACACAGTTACTGGGAGACTCTGTCATCCACTTCCTGTTGGCCAAGACACCTGTCACATGAACTTTGCATCCAATAACTGCTAGTCTATGGGAACACACAACTTTTCTGGAAAATTCGTGAAGAAAGAAGTTGAAGAGTAAAAATGCAGGATTCTTATCTTGTCTTTGTCATTCATGTTCCATGATGTGTAAAACATAATATCACCTATCTCACAGGGTTATTGTGGGCTCAGGCCGGTTAATGTGTATAAAGCAGTAAACAATAATATGAATATAAGCAGGAATTAAAGAAGGAACTGATTTCTAAAGAAATTCTTTACCAGAATTTCCCAAGTGGCTTCATTCATTAATTAGGAAGTTTCTATGTGTGTTGCCAAATTGACTGCATGTATTTTACATGGACTGTGTACACATTCTTAGGCCTATCCTAAAGTTATATTTTGTTTTGTAACAAGTATGAACTTCAGTTCATAATGCCAGCATGCAATAAATGGCAAGTTTCTCTACATCTAATTTGTTTCATTTTGGGTGTTCAAAAATAAAAAACTCAGGTATCTAATATTGGTAGAGATTTTGACATGGGTGGCAAAAGAGGAAGTCTTTCTCTTTGATGTTATTCAAGAACTATGAGAGTCTGGGGCAGCCCAAAACAGGGTATCTTGCTGCATTTAGCCAATACTGCCCATCACTGGCATACTCATTATCAAGTACACACATCCTCTTGAAGTTGGGTGGCCTTTTTACTTCCACATCATCCTTGGGTTCTAGGGGTTTTGCTGATGCAGGGTATGTCCTCCTGTCTCAAAGTATCTCAAACCTTTTTAAATATATCAAGCAACCAGAGTCATTTTAGTTAGTGCTACCTTCTCAAACCACCGGAAAAAAACAGGCCACCAAAATGGAGCAGGGCAGACTGCTGCTTTTCCAAGCTTCCTATGCCTGCAGTCTCCCTTTTCCTTACTGATAGACTGAGAGGCTTTCCTTAACTCTCTCTTGCTTCCACATCATCATAGAGCTTACTTCTTATCCCTGTGAGATCATTATGCTCCTCAATGAGCCCAGACTCTCCAGCCCCATCCTCCCTTCAGAAATCAACAAAGTGGTTTTCTGCTAAGCATATGGCAATTTCAGCTTGCTTCCTTGAAATTTAAAAACCTCCTGTCAAGAAAACAAAAGATCTTGCTACCTTGGGATTAGGAGTGAAAAGTACCTATAATTTCAAAAATTGGTAAAATTAATGTATCAATTCATTCTGTTTTACTGCCACCATGGTGGTTATTATAATTTTTCTCCTTTCAATTTCTACTTTGTATGATAAACCTTGTATTGTGTTATAGGAAATATTGGAGAAAAGTCTAAGAAAATAGCTTGAATTCTGGAAGAAAACTGGAAATTGTTGAAAAATAATAAACACATGCGGTCTCCTAAAAGCTGGTACTTTTTGAAGAACATGGCGGTAGGCTGAGATCTTTTTTTACACATACCTTGTGGGATGGTTATTTGTTTGGACCGACACTACCAACTTGGTTTTAAAAAAACTCTTGTGGGCTGGGGATTTAGCTCAGTGGTTCCGCTGCCTGCCTCACAAGCCCAAGGTCCCAAGTTTGATCCCCGATACCAAAAACACAAAAAAGACTCTTGCTCCTAAAAACCAAGACTTCATCTAGAATGGTGTTGACCGTAAGGAAAGGACCTGCCAGTACCATCTGAAGGAAAATGTGGAAAAATAAAAACTAGGATTAATACACTTCTGAGTGGCCCAGGCACCTGTAATGAAGTTGATCAATTTTGTCCTAACACTAAGGATAACTGAATAGATCCCTTTTTTTTATTTCTCAGAATAGGCTTATGGCACCTGATCAAATAGAAAGAGAAATAGATTTTAAAAATCAACTGACTGGTTAATTTTGTTTTTATCTGTGAGTTATTTTTCACTGCAATTACCATTCTCTAAATTGAACCAGAGAAGCGGAAATCTTATATATGAATATGAAGGTATACTAGTTCTTCTATTTCACAATTTTATCAAGCACTTTCCCAGGTGCCATGCATTTATAAAGATAAAAAACACTTTCTCTACCCTCAAAACTTTAGCTGATTTCAAATTCTTTCATGAAGTTCTCCTTATCTGACCTTTGAGTTAATAGATATTGCTGCATAATGAAGACACAGGCAGTGCTACAGCTTCCTTTTTTTAACTCAGAGAGGCACTTACATCATATTATGTCCAAGAAAAGGATGTGCCAGAAGTGCATCCAAATATTTCACTTCAGTAACTTTCACATTACTCCACCCTGACTTGGAATCCCAGGGGCTTTTTCAGAGAGGAAAGAATAGATTACAACGGATTTACTTTATCAACCAACAGGTGGAAGTGATTTGAATTTGGGGGGAACCTTTCCTAAAATGCCACAATAAGGGAAAGTTTCCCAACTACCTGGCTCATTTTTTGACAAGAGTCTCATTCATCATGGCATGGAAGAACACATGCTTTAGGGTAGACAGATTTCAATTTAATGCCAGCCCCCAAAAGTTCATCTTTGATGAAAAGCTCTACATGCCCCTGTTCTCTAAAAGTTCCAATGACTGATCTTACTGGATCCACGAGAAGAATGAGTGATTTAGCCCACATGGTGCTAGCCTGGCATGGTGGCTAATCCCAGAACTCTGGGAGGCTAAGGCAGGAGGATTGCAAGTTTCAGCCAAGCCTGGGCAACTTAGGGATTTAATAAGATCATATCTCACAATTAACAATAAAAAGAGCCTGGGGTTGTAGCTTATTGCAAAGGCCCTGATTCAATCTCTAGTAACCCCCCTCCCCCCCACACACACACAGTTCACACATTCAGTAAATAAATACTTACTAAACCCACATACTCTACAGGGATCTTTACTGGGAAGTGAGGATGCAAAGATAAATAACATCTAATTCTTGACTCCAGAGATTTGCACTGGTGAGTGGAGGAGATTTCAATCCAGAGCCACATCTAGAGGGAACTCTTGTTTCTTATGTCTTTTGTTCCCTGATATCTTCCATTTCTGTCACAGGAGTTTTCCTTATTTTTTAATCCTAAAATTAATTCCCTGGGAAAGAATAAGACTCAGTAACCCTCCAGCCTGAATGGTCAGGACAGCCCTTTCAAATTCAGCAATCCTGATGGGACACAGACAAGCAACAGTGCTATCTTGGCCCCAAGATACTGAAAAGCACAGGGCACATAAGAGGAAAATGTCTGTTCATATCCACTTTTCCTTCTCTAAATACTTGGAGCACTCACACTACATTTGCCATTTGACTTTCAATGAAACTGACTGTTAGGGCTTGTGTCTAGATGTCCCCCCAAAGCCTCATGCAGTCTTTTTCTGAGGTGGCTGAATCTAGAGAGTGTGATCAATTCATGGTACAATGCTAGGTTAAGGGCATTAGGATTAAGGTTGTGAGTGCTACCTGCATAAGATGTAAGGGATAGAAAGAGCTGTGGTTGTCCCTTGTTGCTTTTGCTACCTTCCACCTGCCATGAACTGTTCCCCCTCTGCCATGCCACCCTGCCTTGGCACCAACCATGGACTGAAACCTCTACAAACTGTGAGCTAAATAAACCTTTCCCCCTTTAACTTTGGGTGTTGGGTATTTTGTCTCAGCATCAAGAGGAAAGTAACTGAGACACTGACCAAATCTAATGTAGAAGAAAGCTGCCAAGATTTCTTGGTTACTTCCCTCCCTTTCCTCCAGAGGGTTCTCACCAGGGAGAGCCAACAGGCCTTGATGGACTCGGTTCTCACAGAGGTGGTGATTCTATGGCACACATATTGTAGTGGGCTGTTTGTTATCATAGAAAGCACTAAAAAGTTTCTCGTCACTAGTGGTGCATCAAAAAGAAGTGACAAGACCTGGGAATATTGCTCTGTGCATATTGTTTACTCACTTGGCAAAGAGTCAAACAGGATCCCCACTGAGAGGCAGACCTACAGTTGTGCAAATGATCCAGGAGGCAGGGCAGGGGAGGCCCTGGTGATTCTCATGAATAACCATCCAGGGACTCCGGGTCAAAAGCTTCCTTGCTATTTTGACTTATAAATAAAGCAGTTTGAATTTCAGCATTTTACTTGCTATTGTACTTTATGACCATGATTTCTTTGTTTTAATTCTCAGATGGTTGTTAAAATTGTTTGAAAATACTCCCTCCTCCCACATATTTATCCACTTTCCTTTCTCCAAAAACATATTTTCTCCCACCACACTGCTAAAGCTAGGCCTTACATTCTGAATATAAGGCTGGAGGAGAGGAGAATTTCCTTTTTTCTCATCCTCTGCCCATACACTGTCCCCCCAGGGATGAAGGAAACTGGTTTATTGTCCACTGTAAGATGCATTTAGTTCATGTAATATTATTTGGTATTATTTCTCCTTAGGATTCTTACCTGCTTTATCTATATTCTCACAGCTTACAGATGCAAGTCTGAGCTATGAACACCCAATTCCAAGTTTTACCTATTCCAAAACCTATATATTGGCTCTCCTCTTTTTCTTTCAATTTTATTCATTATAAAATTTTAGATTTTTTAGATTTAGGCCACCTTGGCCTTGTTTAGATAGATGCTTTTAAAAAATTGAATCAATGAGTACCATTATCCTTATTACAAATACTAAGGTTTTGTTATTAAAGTTTTGTTCTCTTTTTCTGTTTTAAAGTTTTGGTTTTCCCTAAGCCCCACAAGGCTGGAAGTAAAATGAAAGCCAAGAGTCTGACATTTCTTCAGGTTTTCATTCAAATAATATGTTATTCATTGGCTTGGCCTTTCTCCTCTAAAATCTTAATTTAGAGTGGTTTGATTTTATTTCTAATGATTGGTAGAGTTTATTGCATAGAAACAAATTATATGATCCCTTGGGAGAATATGAAAATCATCACCAGCTCAAGTGACCCGTGAACAAAATAGGTGAAAACTATTCTACCTAGGAAGAATTTATGAGGGAAATCATTTTTAGAGTAAAGTAATGATTATTGGAAATAATTTATTTTGAGCTAGATTTGTCATTTGTCTCCTTAGGTAACTTTTGGAGGATGAAACTTAAAAATAAATTTTATTTTTTGCAATCTGACATATATAATTGTTACAGGAAAATGTTTGGGCTAAAGAAGCAATCGAAATAATCACATATAAATCCCCTCATCGAGAGTAGAAATAAATACTTGATATATGAACTTCTAGCTCTTTTTCGTTGCATATATAATTTAATAAAATAGAATCATGCATAACACATCTATGAAATTTGATTTCTTACTTAATGCTATGTGTAACAATTGACAGCAATAAGAAAACATCTATAACACAATAACAAAGCATCTTATAGTATGATACTGTGTCCTGTGCCATAATTTATTTAACTTTCCCTTTACGATTAGACAATAAGATGAGGCTGTTTCCAATTTTTCAATTGTGAACAGCAGTTCAATGAATGCCAACAAAATCCTTTGTGTAAAGGAAACACTGAGTGGTAACAACAGATATCTGGAAATGAAACTGGTTTTTGTATTAAAGATATAAAAATTTTTGATTTTTGACAGATGTTCCCCAATTTTTTTTCTGAAAATTGTGTCACCACAAATAGTAGTGCATGGAAGTATACATTTCCCTAAACCCACAGATAAGTTGAAATAAATGTCATTTCATTTTCTTAATATGCATTTTTGATTAACAATAATGCTGAATAATTTTTGCTATTCATCTTGACTCTACAGTATATATTTCTTCTTTTATAAAATGCTTATCATCTTCTTTTGCCCTTGAGTTCCAAACTCTGTATTAGTCTTTCATTACTGATTTATAGAAACTCTTATTTTATTATTTTTTTTACTCTTATTATTTTAAATTCAATAATACATTACAATTTGAAAATATTTTTCGAGTTCATCTTTTTTCCTCTTTTAATTTTGCTTATGATGTTTTATGCAACAAACTGAGGCTTTATATTGTTTAGTCAAAATTTTCAGCACTTCCTTATTTGCTTTTTCCTTTTATTTTAAGCTTAAATAATTCTTAGGATTTTAAATCAACTTTGAAAAAGCCAGATGTAAGGTATCTACACTCAGGTGGGTATGCTGGTATACACTTGTAATCCCAGCACTCTGGGAGGATAAAGCAGGAGGATTACAAATTCAAGCCCAACCTGGACAACTTAGCAACTTAGTGAGACACTAACTCAAAATAAAAAGTAAAATGATCTGGAGATGCAGATCAGTGTAAAGGCTCTGGATTCAATCCCAAGTACTGGGAAAAAAATGATGTTTATACTCTAGAAACTCATTTAGAATTTCCATGTGTCTCTATTTATGATCCTAGTTATCAAACTATGCTTCTATAGAAAGCCATTTTTCCCACAATTTTTGACAGAGTGCTGTGCTATTAAATATGAATGATGGCAGTTTTCCCAATTTTTCAGGAAAATAAATT